GTGTGTGTGTGTGTGTGTGTGTGTGTGTGTGTGTGTGTGTGTGTGTGTGTGTGTGTGTGTGTGTGTGTGTGCGTGGTCGCGCGAGCTCACGCGGCCAGTCGGTGGGTGGGAGGTGCGCGAGGCGGCGGCGAGGGGTAGGGCAGGATGGCTCGGGGGTGCGACTTCAGAGCGAGGCCCCCTTTCGGCCCCTCCGCCGCTGGGCGGCGGGCCGCCATCCCGAGGCCCCTGAACCCTAACCTATCACAGCCACAAAGGACAACCCGGCCCCTGCGCACGCGTATGTGCGCGCGCGTGCGCGCACCTGACGGCCTGCGCGAGCGCCGCGCCCTCGCCGCGCCCCTCACGCGCATCCGCCTCTGCTTGCGCGGCCGCCGCGGCGCCCGCGTCGCCTGCAGAGCGTCCGCAGAGCGCACAAGGTGCAGAATCAGTACCATTTTCCCCGATTGTAAGCAATGGGGGATTTCATAGTATATAGGGCCGGGGGGATTGAGGGCGGCACGCGGCCGGCGCAAGGCTGGCCTTGCGTCGAGGGAGCAGCCGTATGGAGGGCTCCTCCGCGGCCGCGCGGCCCGGCCGGCGCGGGGGGCCGGCGGCCCCCGCGTACCTGTCGCTCAGGCGGGCTTGAGGCCGCCCTAGGGAGCGCGGGGGCGGCGGGCGTCGGCTGCCGGATCTCGAGGAAGTGGCGGCCGCTGCGTGCCGGTCAACCAGCACCAAGGCAAACCAGGGCCCTTTCACTTTCTCATGGCAGCCCCTCAAGCCCTCGTCACACACACGCCAACACACACGCCAACAAACACGCCAACACACACACACGCGCGCGCGCGAACACACACATACACACACACACACACACACACACACACACACACACACACCGAGGCACGCACACCCAGCGCCCGGACGCCCCCCCCCCGCGCCCCGCACCCGCCGCCTCGAGCGCCGCGGCCGCGTCTGCGAGCGTCTGGAAAACGTAGTAGGCGCGGTCAGACGCCTCCTCCAGCGCGCGCTGCGTGTAGTTGACCGGCGCCCGGTAGTGCGTCGCCACCAGGAACCAGCGCAGCGCCAGGGGGTGGTACGACTTCAAAACCTCCCTGTGACGTTTTTTTGGGGGGGAAACGGGTGGCAGCGGCTCGTTGTTGGGGGGTCCCGGGGAGTGGTGGGGAGCGGAGTCGGCAAATCGTGGGAGCCAGACGGCCCCCAGCGCCGCCCGCGCGCTCCCTGTCTGGCGGCTCGATGAACAGATCGGCAGTTCCAGATCACGCCAGATCACCAGATCACGCGTCGTCCCCAGGCCCGCCGCCCCCGCCCACCTGATGGTGAAGAAGTTCCCGAGGCTCTTGGACATCTTCTCGCTGTCTACGTTGACGAAGCCGTTGTGCATCCAGAGCCGCACAAAGTCGGTGCCCTCGTGGAGGTGTGGCTTGTCGCAGCAGCCCGCGGCGGCCTGCAGGTTGAGGGGAAGGGGGGGGG